AACGTACCCTGAAACAAAAAAAAAAAAGATTCGAGAGAGAGTAACTGGGGACCGCAGTCAAAATTCTCTTACGCTGCCCTGGCTTCCTCGATCGTAGGTACTTTTATTTCCTCATACAAGAAACTGAGGTCGAACGTCCTCAACTGTGGCTTGGTGACTTTCAGTTGTTGTTGTATGCTGTCCAGCTCTTTCATGAATTCGGGGTCTAACCGGAACGGTCCGTCGATTTCCTTCTTGGGGGGTTCCTGAACTATCTGAGGTGGCAGGCTGAAATAAAGTGTATAAATAGTTGTGGTAACATGTCGAAGGAGTCGCAATCAAAATATCAACTCAGTATACGCCAAGTAAGCGAAAGTCTGCTCAGGTTTTTCTTAGAGAAACATATTGAAATTGAGCAACATTCGTGTCCTGAAATAATGCACCTCTCAAGGAGTTCAAGAAGACAGCAGCGGTTTTGTAAACTACTATAGTGCCACTTGACGAGTATAAGCTGATAAATACTGCATATAACGAATAATAATTATAATTACTTGACTGGCGGCAAACTTTCCTCCTCCATATCATCGTCCTGTTCGAAGTTGTTGTTAACGCCGTTGCTCACGAAGGTATTTTCTTCCATGGCTCTATTGGGTGGGGTATTTTCCTTCTGGGGCGATAGTGCTGTCGTCACTACGGTGGCATTCAAGTCCGGTCTGGGAGGGGCAAAAGTTTTTCTGCTCGACCTTTTTATTCTTTCCTCGAGGAGGGACATGTCTTTCTCGGATATCTGAAAGGCGTTTTCACTGTTGAATATGCGAAGTTCAGAATTTGATGCAAATGGAAATGTTATTTAAAACCCTCGCATGACTGCCTAAGAAAGGCTACAATGAGGTGTTCCACAAAAAATTGCTCAAAAACTTCATTATTAAATATTTGTAAGAGTAGAAATACGAAGAAGATTAGAAAGACGAAGATGAATAGAAAGACGAAGAAGAAGAATTAGACAGACGAAGAAGATAATGAAGAAGAAGAAGAAAAAGAAGAATGTATGTGAATAGGTTAAATAGAAACTATACCTCTCAATTTGAGGTTTTCTAGTTTAATGATGGCCCTCAATTTACAATAAATGATTATATTCATCATTTATGTTTACAAAAACATGAAAAGTTTGCGTTGTCAATAAAAAAAGTTTTTTATTTTAATGAAACTTTATATCGATTTCTGTAGAACTAACAAAATGGTACTTACATTACCAACCAGTCTGTATACTTTTTCTCCCACGATGTT